GATGAAATGTGATGGAGATGAAATGTGATGTAAGTAAAACATGATATAGGCAAAACATGATAGATATGAAACACTGATGTAGGTGAAACACATCAGGTGATGGGATCAGTCATATAGTTACAGGGTCAATGACGAATAGTTAGGAAAGAAAAAGAACCCCCCCTCTCACGCTGTAACACCTACTGGCAAAATGTTATTCTATATCACCACAGAAGTTAGTATCTACTGTATATGCATTAACCTGAGCCAGGATGCCACTAACATAATGATTATTCATAGACATTCCTTTATAATCTGGCTCATTTTTTACACAATCAGGACTGGAATACTAACTTGGTATAGCCATCTTCTATTTGAGCTTCACAATGGTCACTAACAAGTGATCTTTTTTTCCAGTGTGTTTGCTCTACTGACTGTTGTGATGGTAATGATCACTTGCTTTACTAGTATACATAATTATTTGTCTCACACTTCAAACAGACAGCAAGGCTAGCAGGTACACTTGCATCTCAGTGTGTTGGAATATTTCTCTCAAAGTGTATGTTATTCTGCTTTGTATCCATTAGGCAACCATAGAGCTGATTATATTCCAAGTGTATGTGAATTCTTGTATGGTTATGTATTTATCACTTTATCAGCTTTTCAAAGAAGCTCATGGAACAACTAAACCTGCCATTGGAAATAGGTTGAATTCTCGCAAGCATCTGCGCACTACAGCCTTCGAGGTTGATCAGAGCCAAGATGTAGTTGTGCCCTCACTCAGTTTATCATGCCCATAGAGCTACATGATGCTCTCAACGACAGAGAGAGAAAGCGAAGAGAAGGAAGTTTGAACGCTCTGATACGAAAATGCCAATAGCTTGATAGCCACGTATATTTAGATTGTCTGTTACAGAGTTGACTTGTCATGCATATGCGCACTATGCTGGAAATCAGCGTGTTTGTCGAGGAGTCTCTCGAGGAATGGTGGAAGTGTCTGCATGTTGCGGAGATGATGACCTATCTTGCAAGGCACCCAATACCTGGAAATATCTGGAAAGCGGTAGAAGAGGCCGTGGAGGGGGCTGCATACACGCGAGCGAGCCAGATCGCATCCATGCAGCAGTGGAAGGCTGGGTACGTCAAGGGCTGTGGTCGGAGATGGCAGCGCAAGGCGCTGGGACATGGAGCGGCCGTTGGTGGCAGATTCGTCGCGTGCACCATGTGGGATGTTTTCTATGCCACGGGCCCTTCAACTTTCAAACTCTAGCTTCTTCTGCGAGGCAGGTCAGGGATGATGTTCAGAGGATAGCACTTTGAGCAGACGGGGGTACGGAAGAGGTGACACTGGTCCTGTTCTCTAACATGTCAACGACATATATACAATACCAGGTGATGCGAAGCGAGCAAAGAACAACAGTCAATGGCAGACTTGTCATGTAGCATGTCTTCTGTGCGGCAGGTGCCAAGGGCCCAAGCCATGTCCTCAATTCATGCTTGGCTTTATTCTCCGATGTGTACGGATGATTGTGAGCATGTCCTTCACGCGCTAAGAGTGCAGCAGTCAAGTTCATCTGCGAGGGGAAATTGTGAGTGTATCTTGTTGTGGTACGTCTCGACCTCGGCTTACAGCGCGAGGATGAGCAGTATCTGAAGCATCGACTCCGTGATCGTAAGTACTGGTTTCAGGGAGAAGGCACTAGGGCCTACGATGTCCACCTGTCTTGTTTTTGCAACCATTGCGCGGCCGGACAAGAATGACTTCCAGTGGGATGCAGACATGGGCGTGTACGTACCCACATTTGTTCAGATGATGTGCAACCGTGCAGCGCTCGAGGTCGACCGCCACGCCGCCGTGCCCTCAATGGAAGAGAGCAAGACCAAGTCGAAGTGCCGGCTCCCGTGGGAGAAGGAGTCGAAGCCCAGCGCGAGATCCAGCTCTGGCTTCTAGATCGCGCAATGATCGTCCGCAGCGTGACTTGTGACATGCCGGAGACTATCACGCTCTCGACTGGCTTTCCGGATACAGACTAGATTCCTCCCAGACGTCCGGATGGTTTAGATTTTGCGCGGTGAGCTGGGAATGCGCCTGAGCGGTGGCGGCTTCCGACCCGTGCACGCATCGTTCTGGTCCTATAAGACGAGGTCTTTGGCATCGGGCAAGTTGTCTGCAGAGGGGGACGTCATGACCAAATGAAATTGATGTCTTGCTCCATGCTTGGACCGTTTTGACTTGCTACGTATTGTAGGGATGAACTGACAAGGCGGGCGTTCGTGAGACTTCCAACAGGTACCTCGCCTGCACCTGAAGGCGGCCGGTCAAAGAGCAAAGCTGGAATGCCTATGATACTAGCGAGGTTAAGCGGGGGCCTGATCATCGGGCCGATGACTCTTTTTCCTGGAAATCGTAGTACAGTATTCATCGTTCTATCTGCTAAATTCACTTGCTGCTTACGATGTTAGTCGTCAGGCTTCTGGCCATACGGCCGTGCTCAAGTATAGTGAGCTCTCCATGTCGTTAGCGTGCTCGCGTTTTCATGATTGACGCTTACCCTGTAGCTGTGAGTACCTCAGTGCGATCACCTGTGCGCCGCTTGGCTTCATTGAAGCTTTCTATTGTATATGCATCCACTAGGCGCTTCAACACGAAAGAAGCTTCTCCATAAACTCTTGCGTGAATGATGATGGAATGGAAGGAACCAGATAGTGATTAAATAAGTGGACCCTTTGCTAGAATTGGTTCGGGTGCTTTTGATCGTAAGATAATTGGTTCTTATGCTGATTCCTTAGCGAAAGCGAGAACATGCCTTATGGTGAATCGACGAGGGAGGAGACTTTGAGTAAGCTACGCATGACCAGGAAGACTTCACAATGAGGACTGGTCATCCTCGCCGTGTAGTCCCTCAAGTCATCGGAGGTGGGGTAGAGAATTGAGTACATGCTAGGAGAGGTAGAGCATACTAGTGCTTAACATTCATCGTGCGCTGATAATGTTTCTGCATTCGCAAGTTTCATCAAATTACGAACAGGCGCATTTGATATTACGATATATACCTATCACCTCTTCGGTTTGAAATTCAGGTACTTCTGCTTCTATTTCGATCACCTCTGGACGTGCACACATGTTTTATGATGAACTGAACCAGGAGGCTTGCCTGGCGACGTGGGATCGCCGCCGCGGTTTTTCCAAACTTTTTTAGAAGGCATCTCCGGATCGATGCGGTTAAGCTTCATGACACGGAAGGAGGCTCTCTACTCCTGTGCAGCCCGCGTTTTGAAGACTTCCTTTGCTAGCTGTCTCACTTTAGCCACCGATTTTGGCAGCTGTTTGCGTAGAGATGCCGGGATGTCTCCCATGGGGCTCCCATCGCGTCGTGCGGCCTTCTTTACATGTCCGTCAACAAGCTCGTTTTCATTCCTGTTTAGTAGCCCTTGCAGCACGTATGACTTCCATCTCCCCAGACTGTTCAACTGTCCTTGCCAGACGCCGCAAACAGTGATCACGTCGAGCAGAATGGGGAGGGAAAGCATGGGGATCGTGGGTGACGGTTGGATGCGATACGAGAGACAGCCATTTTCGTATTGCACTGGCTCTACTCACCAAGGGTGTCGGGAAACAGTGATGGTTAGTTTCTAGACAAGATATACTGCCTCGCCCCATGGCGAATCTTATGCCTACTCCCCCCCACGAAAATCTACCCACACATTGGCTGCGTGCTGAGCGGGCGACTAGGTTTTCTCGTCCAGATATTCGCTATGCCATGCGAAAGGTGAGTGAGATGATTTGGCGTGCTGTAGATGGCGGATAGGGCTCGGGGTCTTCCAAATCGGTAGACTCATCGGTCAAATCGAGGCAAAGTCTGTAGGGGTACTAGCGAAGGGGAGAAAAACTGTCGAGGTATATGTATATACTTTTTAGTCGGGCGGGACGAAGAGTTGTCAAGCGAAGTCGTGACGCGATTGACAGTGTTGCGAAGAGTCATGTCGATTTGCTGCAAGAAGGGGAGGATGTGCAGGATGACTGCCGGGCAGAGCAACTCTGTTGTATCGCCAGCTCGAACGCGGAAACCACTCAAGGCGTGGGCAGATTAGGGGAGACAAACGTGCCTGCGAGGTCTTTTGTGAGCCGGGGTTATTGTTACCCAGGGAGTCGGGTCTATAACATCACTAAGTCAGCTACTGCACAATTCCAGATAGGTTGACATGATACATGCGGGCAGACGAGAAGTTAAAGATACGTGCAAGCAAGCGAGATCGCATCCGCAGGGAGTCCGTACCGCAGGCCATATTAAGTGGAGGTTATCTCCGTGCAGCACACATGTACACACCTGCGTCCATGCGAGCGGTGGCAAAAGGCACGTCACGCGAGGCTGTTGACAAAGATAATTCCTGAATTTAATAGCAAATAATTTCTCTCGTCTATGAAGCCAGGTCTCGTGCTCGCAGGCCAAGAAGGATCAAACATGCCAGAATTACAGCACGGGCATATCACAACATACAACGTACACAGCGACAATTAAGATCATATCCGGGCAAGGACAAAGCTTTAAGCTTCTGACATACATCAGAATCTTTACGAGACGTGAGCTGAACGGTGCGTTCAGAAGCTGAAGGAAGCATATGTGAGCGGGGGCCTTGTTTTTAATTCAATGAGTACTGACGGCAGGGTCCAAATCTTGGATTCGGCTAAGTTGATGTTCCCCACCAGCGCGATATCCATCTCCAAAGTACACATAAAATCATGCGTTCCCGCTCCGTTTTTCACACTTTTGAATCTTGCTCGTCCCTTGGCAACGAACACGTTGATAATGGACGGTATGAATGCATTGTTGTCTAGGACTCCCGCGACAATCGCTAGCCTGACACGGCCAGAAATTGGAACATTGCAGAACAGGTTTGCATTCATGGTTTTGTCCTTTGGGTCAATACTTCCAGCCAGCTGTATCTGGGAGTCAGTATCGACCGCGGTGTTTTCTCGCTGCAGCACTCACCTCAAATATAGCGAAGTTGAGCTGAAAGGTGCACAACGAAAGCATCGACGCATCGACAGTGTTCCTAGCAGCATCGCTCTCTCCTTTGGTGAACAAGTCAACTACAACCACATATAGAGCATCCAGCTGGTGAGCATAGTTGGCTAAATACCGGAGGAGGACTAATATTACATTAGAAGCCTGAATCAGCGATTTGAACATGGGGGAACAGACAGACGCTACGTACCCTCATTATCCTTTATAATGTCAGGATCTACAGTAATATTACAACATTAGCGTTCGTTTACAAGACGGTGAAACTAAGGAGTGAAACTAAGAAAGATGACTTGCCGGTTTCTCTGTAGTGAACTTCAGCCACGCTTTCCGGTGCAGCATCGTAATCTTCGGAATGGTACTGCATGTTGAGCAAGACTTCCGATTTCTGTGAAATCTGTTGAGATACATATACAATGTTTCAGGACTCGATGAGTCATACCTGATCACCTGGTTGACTCGTTACACTACCGGTTCAGTGTCAGACGAAGCTGAATAGCATAAATGCGATTGAGTTGCTTACAAGCTGGGAAACACGCTGACTGTATCAACTATCTCCCCAGTGAACGGCGTGGTAAGGTCGTATGACTTCACAACCTCCCCCGGATTACCATTATATGCGAACCCAAAATGCCCATAAATCTGTGTGCCTTGTGACGGGATGGCAACATCGTACTGTACGGGAGGCTTTCTGGAAAGATCGACTTGAATGTTCCTCAGAATGATTGTGCGTCCATAACCAGGCACAACAAGGTGAATATAGTTCACTGCCAGGGTGCCCTTGCTCTTGTCATAAAGCACATTGCACTGCATGGAGCAGCAAGATGAATCAATACGCTGACCGATCATGACTCGAAAGCATTACTAACTTCAAAGTAGCCAAAACCGAATGCCACATGTATCTTGTCGCCAATGCTAGAATCATCGTCTGGTATGGTTTTGGCGTTGACCGATATCATAACGACGGAGGCTTCAGGACTACTCCTTCCCATCCATTTGTGCGACAAGAGGAACTCATTGACGACTACAAAGTATGAGCATTTGTAGCTCAATCAAGTATTGTACTGCGAGAGAAGAGTGAAACATTACCAGAACCGATAAAAGCAGCATTGTCGTTATCTGTATATAGGTCAGCGATTATACTGTGCACAAAGCAATCAAGGTGCACCCACATTGCCATTGCTGTAGTCGAGCTCGAGTCAGAAGTAGGAGTACATCCTGGGGGAATTGCTGCATTCGTGCTATCCTTTCATCTTCTTCTGAACAAAGGTTTGCGAGCTCACAAACTAAAATCTGCCGCTTCTCTTCAACGTCAGTAGCACCACAAAAACCATGAGGTAGATGTGTCGCCCCAATACTTTGATCCATAGTGGGAAAAGAACCGTGTGCAATTAAACCATTGGAGGTCAGAAACAAATATCTCTGCCAGTCTGTGCCATCGATGTTCTTCAGCGAAGAGGGTCGTCAACTTCGGTGGTGATATACCTGAGTCAGACACACTCAAAGAAGTGCAGCATGTCATTGAATATATACCACATATACTCACCATAGCTTAAACACTCTGAGGTTAGGGTGCTCTTCCTTCGTTCTAAGAAAACATCTGCACCAATTTCGTGTTGCAGTGGTACCTCATTGAGCGTAATGAACGCGGTTGTGTTTCCACTGTCGCGCAGCGTTCAGTGGACGAGGGGAGAAGGATGCGTCTAGCCTTGCTCGAGGTCGCGATGGAGTAGTTAACGCATGAGATATCGTGAATCTCGCAACAACAAGTTGAACACCAAACGCCAATGTGCTTGCGGACGCTTAACCCGACCTCAAGCGGCGAGACG